GCTCTGCACTCAGGACTCACTCCCGGCGGTGCTCGGGGGACCCTATGGGATGCTGGGAATCGAACCCAGGTCGGCCGCGTGCAAGGCCAACGCCCTCCCCGCTGTGCTATTGCTCCAGCCCCCTCTCTCTGATCCTTAATTGGTCTCTGTTTTTTCTACCGTCATCCCTGTAGATGTCCGGCCTCCGCAGGGTCAGTCACAGACTGGTGGACTGGTGCCTGTTAGTTCTCCATGAGGTCAGAGGTATTTCTTCCCAGGAGATTAACAACCATTGCCTTGGGAAGGGGCCTGCCTACATCAAGTGGACTTTCTCATTCGTGACTGACCTGACCAGGGTTCAAGTCTAGGCCCCAGACTTGGTGTCGGGTCCTCATGGAGTGCCTGGCATTCCTGGGCGTTGGGTGGGGGGGGGGTCGTATGCGGGGGATGGGACTGGGCTTTATGGAGCCAGCCTTGTTTCTGGATGTTTCTGGGTCACACCCGGCAGTGCTTGGGGCTGACTCCCGACTGGGAATTGAACCGGGGTCGGCTGCGTGCAAGGCTGGCGTCCGCCCCGCTGCCGCCACGGGCTTCTACTCAAGGGTTCCATCTAATGAACTGTGTTTCCCCGGGATGTCGGCTCTGCTTTTTGGTTCTTTCAGAGCTTTTCTGTTGTTCAGGTTTAAAATAGCTCCGTAGCCTATGCCCGCGCTGACCTACTTTGAGGAGCGTGGATTGACGGTGCCTCTCGGCCGGGCATCACCCAGGCGCCCGCCGAGCTTAGCCGCTCTGTGTTGGAATAAAATATCCTGGACCCCCCGTCCCAACTCGCCGTGTTTGTTCTCCCTGCCAGTCTCAGTTCAATCCTTCCCACATGCCAGGTTCTTCCTCGGAGAAGCTGTTTGCCCTGGCGTGCAGGGAATTCTTTGGAATCATTTAGGGGAGTCCTGCCCAGAACCCGTCACCCCTGCAGCTGGAGTGATAGCACAGCGGGGAGGGCGCTGGCCTTGCACATGGTTGACTAGGGTTCGATGCCTGACATCCCATAGGGTCCCCCGAGCACCGCCAGGAGTGATTCCTGAGTGCAGAGCCAGGAGTCAGCCCTGAGCATTGCTGGGTGTGACCCCGCCTCAATAAAAGGTTTATTAAAAGCTAAAAACAAAAAGGAAATGACAAAGATCAAGTGAATTACAAAGGAGGAAGATACAGCAGCTTGGGCTAGAGCAATAGCACAGCGGGGAGGGCGTTGGCCTTGCACACGTCCAACCCGGGTTCGAGTCCCAGCATCCCATAGGGTCCCCAGAGCACCGCCAGGAGTGATTCCTGAGTGCAGAGCCAGGAGGAACCCCTGAGCATCGCCAGGTGTGACCCCAAAAGTAAAACAAAACAAAACAAAAACCCTAAAAACATTAGCCTGAGGGCACAAGAGTGATAGCACGATGGGGCAGGTATCTGCCATGCATGACCCGGGTTCGATCCCCGGCATCCCATAGGGTCCCCCGAGCACCGCCAGGAGTGATCCCTGAGTGCAGAACCAGGAGTCAGCCCTGAGCACCACTGAGTATGGCCAAAAAATCACTAACACTAAAAGACAACCAATCCCAACGTTAGCCTTTATCTTGGTGATGGCCGGAGACAGGCGTGGTCCGAGAAGAACCTTCTCCATCATCTGGCCATGCCCTTCCGGGTCCTCCAGAAATGCAGGTTTCCGCTTTGGGCTTTTTTTGTTTGTTTGTTTTTCTTCTTGGGTCATACCCGGCGATGCTCAGGGCTCACTCCTGGCTCTGCACTCAGGAATCCCTCCTGGCGGTGCTCGGGGGACCCTATGGGATGCCGGGGATCGAACCCGGGCCGGCTGCATGCCAGGCCAACGCCCTCTCTGCTGTGCTATTGCTCCAGCCCCCATCCTGGAGGTCTTGGGCCCATCCCCACCCACGGGCTGCACCCGGCATGGCTTGGATGTGAGTGGGGGTACCGCAAGTTTCCAGGGATCCAACTCACCTTGGGTGCAGGCAAGGCCTGTGCCCTAACCATTGGGCTCTCTCCGTGGCCCCCAGCTCATCTCTTTGGAGACGGAAACACCTCTTGGTCAAGCCGATTTATCTGTCCACGCCACCGAGGGCCGACCTCCTTAACCACCTGACCAGCGAAGGGTTTTGTTCCCCAGCCCGTGGGGCAGGGCGGGAGAAACCGGTGCCAGCCTCAGTGCCTGGGCCCCGGGGCACTGTGTCCCTTGGCGCTTCCTTCTCATGCTTCCCTGTGTTGGGGGAGGTGGGCTCGGTGTATTCCTGCCCCAGAGTCTCAGTGTCCCCAGCCAGCCAGCCCGGGGCCTGGACTTTGTCCCCATGAATCAGAGCCCCAGAGAGGCCGGGCGGGCTGTCGCAAAGGTGAAGCGTGGGCGTTGTCCCGGCTCCGTTGATGTGGCACCTGCCTGGACTTTAACAGTCCCGGAGGCCACCGCAGCCCCGGGCAGCTGTCCAGAGGCCACAGCAGGACCAGGTGCGTGGGCTGAGGGCCGGGCACGCCTCCCCCCTGCTCCCTGGGGCACCCATGTTTGCTGGACTGGCGGGGTCAGGGACGGCGCTTGGGGGTGCGGTTGGGGTCAGGGCTTCTGTTTTTTTTTTTTTTCCTTTTGGGTCCCACCCGGCAATGCTCAGGGGTTCCTCCTGGCTCTGCACTCAGGAATCACTCCTGGCGGTGCTCGGGGGACCCTACGGGATGCCGGGGATCGAACCCGGGTCGCCCGCAGGCCAGGCCAACGCCCTCCGTGCTGTGCTGTTGCTCCAGCCCCCAAAAATGGACTTTTTAGGTGCGAGTGTGTCTTTCGCTGTCCCTGAGTGTGTGTGTGTGTGTGTATGTGTGTGTGTGTGTGTGGAGGGGCACCCAAGTTCCTTCTCCCCAGAGTGTATCGGAGAGGTGCCCATCCCTGGGGTGACAGTCAGTAGCGGCCAAGTCACACTCAACAGATGTTTGTTAAGTATTTATTTTCCCTGCTCTGACTGTGGCTTCTGTTTGTTTGAGACTCTGGGGGCCTCTGCTTTGGCTCTTCCTGAGAGTCTGGGGTCTGCCCTGGGGCCCCCTCTGTGCCCCCCAGGATTTGGGGTCCAGGGTGAGGGTGGGGTTTGCTCTGCAGCTGGGCTGGCGAGAGGTGTGCACTGCCTCCCTGCCGTGTCAACTGGCAGCCGGCCGGCCCAGCGCACTGATTCTGTCCCCTCTGGGCATGTGGCACTGGGCACAGTTCCCTGAGCACAGAGCCGGGAGTGACCCCAGAGCACCGCCAGGGCCAGCCCAGAAGCCCAGGAAGCAAGAATGTCCTGCGGGGTTTCCAGGAAAGGGGGGGGGAGGGGAGGAACCTGCAGTCCCGTGCTGTGATTTATTTACTTTGGGGGCCACACCCGGCCATACTCCAGGTTCTGTGTCCAGGGCTCTGTGTCAGGGCTCTGGATCAGGGCTCTGTGTCCAGGGCTTTGTGTCAGGGCTCTGTGTTGGGGCTCTGTGTCGGGGCTCTGTGTTGGGGCTCTGTGTCGGGGCTCTGTGATGGGGTTCTGTGACGGGGCTCTATGTCAGAGCTCTGTGTCCAGGGCTCTGTGTCGGGCTCTGTGTTGGGCTCTGTGTCGGGGCTCTGTGTCGGGCTCTGTGTCCAGGGCTCTGTGTTCGGGGCTCTATGTCAGGGCTCTGTGTCCAGGGCTCGCTCTTGGAGGCCTGGGGGCATGCCTGGGATCAAGCCTGGCGAGACCCCTGCTATACTGCCATGCTGGGTCTCAGGGCACGGGGCCATTCTCCTTCGGCCCTACCCTTCGGGAACATTGTACTTCCGGCTCAGGTCAGAGCTCAAAATGGCCCGGCAGCCCCTGATTTCGACACGTGCCCTTTGGCCCTGCGCCCCTGCAGGCAGGCCTTGCCTGGGCTGTTTCCCAGGGGGTGGGGGAGCCGGGTCCCAGCAGCGACTTAGAAAGGGGAGAGGGACAAATCTGGGCACTGCCTGGGCGCCCGCTCCTGACGGAGAAGGACTGTCTCTCTCTCTCTGCAGGTGCCAGTGGCAGGGACAAGGGCCAGGACTAGAGGTATTTCCACTCTGTCTTGTGCAGGGAGCTGGGAAATCTTCAGATGGAAGCCTGGCAGCTTCTGAAAGCTCTCTCTCTCCCTCCCTCTCTCCCTCTCTCCCTCTCTCTCTCCATTCCAGAGAGGGCTCTTTGAGAGGGGCAGAGGAATCGAACCCAGGTCGGCTGCGTGCAAGGCAAACGCCCTACCCACTGTGCTGTTGCTCCAGCCCACATATATTTGTAAAAAAAAATATATATATATATTTCCCTCTATATTGGTTGCTTTCTACTTCAAACCCCCATCAAATGAGGTGCAGTACTCTTGGAGAGTGGGTAGGGTGTGAGGTCTGAGATGTCCAGAAATACGTTCACTTCTGGGTGAGGCTCGTCCGTCCTCTTTCTTTCATTTTTAAAACAGCACCATTGTGATGGTTGAGGCTGTTAATTATTTATTTTTGGGGGGCTTTTTGGGTCCCACCCAGTGACAGTGCTCAGGGCTGACTCCCGGCTCTGCACTCAGGAATCACTCCTGGCGGTGCTCGGGGGACCCTAGGGGATGCTGGGGATCGAACCCGGGTCGGCCACGTGCCAGGGCAGCGAGTTCCCACCGACTAGGCGCAAACCTGCCGAGGTGTTGGCTGCCTCCCCCGATATTTATATCAGGTGTTTGTGTCAGGGGGTTCGGAGGCTTCTCAGAGCGTTTCTCATGGACCAGGGTTTGGGTGTGGGACCTCTCACCCGCTCCGACTCTCCCTCTCTGCTCTCGCCACAGGAAGATAAAACTGTGTCCCAGACTCGCCCAGCACCCAGGGCAGGCCCAGGGGTCCAGGGATGGAGCCGTGGGCTTCCCAGTGGCCATCACCGCCCGTGGGCAGGGCCCCGGAGCGTGGCCACTGGAGAGAAGCCCCTCACCGACCCCAGTCTTGGCATGACGGGGAGAGGGTCCGCCCCCCTCCGGAGCCTCGGGGGAGCCCCCAGATGCAGCTGGACGCCAGGGCCGACCACCAGCAGACGTTGTACGCGTCCAGGCTGAGGGCCAGGGCCCAGCCGGCACCCGAGCGGGACTACTACGAGGCCACGTACGCCGGACACTTGTACCCACGGTAAGTCAGGGCTCGGGGCGTCCCCATGTAGGACTTTCCTTTTTCCCTTCCTGTTCCTTCTTTGGGTCCCAGCTGGCAGTGCTCAGGGCTGACTCCTGGCTCTGCACTCAGGGATCACTCCTGGCGGTGCTCGGGAGACCCTATGGGATGCCGGGGATCGAACCCGGGTCGGCCGTGTGTGAAGCAAACGCCCTCCCTGCTGGACAGATAGCCTGTCCAGTCCCATGACTCTTCTCCTTCTCCTCCTCCTCCTCCTCCTCCTCCTCCTCTTCCTCCTCCTCCTCCTCTTCCTCCTCCTCCTCCTCCTCCTCTTCCTCCTCCTTCTCCTCCTCCTCCTCTTCCTCCTCCTTCTCCTCCTCCTCCTCTTCCTCCTCCTCTTCCTCCGCCTCCTCCTCTTCCTCTTCCTCCTCCTCCTCTTCCTCCTCCTCCTCCTCCTCCTCTTCCTCCTCCTCCTCCTCCTCCTCTTCCTCCTCCTCCTCCTCCTCCTCTTCCTCCTCCTCCTCCTCTTCCTCCTCCTCCTCTTCCTCCTCCTCCTCCTCCTCCTCTTCCTCCTCCTCCTCCTCCTCCTCCTCCTCTCTTCCTCCTCTTCCTCCTCCTCCTCTTCTTCCTCCTCCTCCTCCTCCTCTTCCTCCTCCTCCACCTCCTCCTCCTCCTATTCCTCCTTCTCCTCCTCCTCCTCCTCCTCCTCCTCCTCCTCCCTTTTGGGTCCCACCCCGCCATGCTCAGGGCTAACTTCTGCTCTGTGCTCCGGAATCACTCCTGGCGGTACTCGGGGGACCCTAGGGGATGCCGGGGATCGAACCCGGGTCGGCCGCGTGCCAGGCCAACGCTCTCCCCACTGGGCTATCGCTCCAGCCTCTCCCCCAGTTGGGTTTGGGGGCCTGGGAGTGGCGTTTCCCTCCGGCCTTCCTCCCCTAGTGGCCCCTTGCGGTGTGGCCAGGAGAGGGGACACCCAGGGTCCTGGAGCTCAGCCCGGGGGCTTCAAGGCTGTCCCAGGCTGCAGGGCGGCTCCTTCCCGGGGTCCCTATGATGTCACTCTGGGCTCTTGTGACTGAGCACGAGACCCCCCACCCCAGTACCAGGAAGAGGCCGACGCCCACAGATGGACACGCCAAAGGGCGGGGAGGATGGAGGGAGATCACGACAGGGGGTCCTCAAAGCTCTTGTTCAGGACCGGGACGACACCGCCTCCCCACGCTCAGGGCTGGGGTCTTCCTTCGTCCGCCCCGTCGGGCGGGCCGGCCCGGTGCCCTCCCTGAGCACTGCCCCTGGGGCTGTTTCAGGCCAGACCTGGACGACCGGTACCCGGGCCACCCGTCTCCAAGTCTCAGTGACAGCTACGGCCACGGCGGATACTTCTACCACGGGTACCCGCAGGACACAGGTACGGGGTCCCCGCAGGGAGCCCTGGGGGCAGCTGGCCCAACCGTCCCCTGGCCGGCCCGGCTAGATTCACGCTCTGACCGGTGCTTCCGGCTGGGGCAGGCCCTGACGTGGCCATCGGGGTGTGAGGTTGCCCTAGGGGGTGGACAGGGGGATGCTTGAGCCCAGGCCGGGTCCGAGGGCCGCAGGGACGAGCGTGTGATGGGGCGGCCAGAGTGGCCCCCGGGTCACGGCCAGGCCTGAGGGCGCGGGGTAAGGGGACACTAGCCAGCCCCAACGAGAAGTGTACCAGGGACACACTCACACACACCCATGCACTGATGCACAAACACATGCTCACACACTCGCACACCCATGTACACACATGCACGCACACTCATAACCCATACCGCATACACTCATACGCACACACTCACGCATACACGCACTAATATTCACCGACACACACTTGCACACACATGCACGGACGCACACACGCACACACACGCACACACATGTACACACATACACACATGCACACATGCTCATGCACCCATGCCGCATACACTGATACACTCACGGGCACACACGCCACGACACATCACGCACATACACACATGCACTGATGCACAAACACACACACACACTCTCACGCGCACATGCACACACAGGTACACACAGGCACGCACACTCATACACCCATATCACATCCACTGATACACTACATGCACACACTCACACACACACTCACATGCCACATACACAATATTGTTACCTCCTGCAGAACAAAGGCAGAGGGACCCCCCCAGATCCGCACATGTGTGTGTCTCTGTGAGTGTGTGTCTGTCTGTGTCTGTGGCTATGAGTGTATGTGACTGTGTGTGTTTGTGTCTGTTGTGTGTGTATGTGTCTGTGTCTGTGTGTATATATCTGTGAGTGTATGTGTGTATGCCCGTGTCTCTGTGTGTACGTCTGTGTGTGCAAGTGTTTATGTATGTGAGTATGTCTGTGTATGTATCCGTCTCTGTTGTGTGTGTCTCTGTGTGTCTCTATGTGTGTGTGCCTGTGTATGTTTCTGTATCTGAGTGTGTGTCTCTGTGTGCCTGTGTGTATGTGTGCGTTTGTATGTATGTGTGTGTGTCTGTATGTGTCTTTATGTGTGTCTGTGTGTCTGTGGGTGTCTGTGTATATCTGTGTCTGTATGTGTCTGTGTGCATTCTGTCTGTGAGTGTCTGTAGATGTGTGTATCTGTGTGTATATGTATGTGTCTGGTGTTTGTGTGTGCCCGTGTGTGTCTATTTGTGTCTGTATGTGTATGTATGTGTGTCTGTGTGTGTCTGTATCTGTGTGTCTGTATGTGTGTCTGTGTGTGTCTGTGTGTCTGTGTGTCTCTGTGTGTATGTATGTGTCTGTGTGTGTCTGTATGTGTGTCCGTGTCCGTGTGTGTGTGTCCCCACCCAGGCCATTCCCAGGGTAGAGTCTGGTCCCTGCTCAGCTGCGTCCCCTGGTCCGAGCGTCCCTGGGCTCTCTGGGGTGGGGGTCACAGCCTCTGCTTTCCTCTGAGGGTGCAGCGCCGCGGCCGGGGAGCCCTCCAGGCTGGCACGAAGACCCCCGCGAGCCGGCGTGCGACCTTGAGCAGAGCCGGGCCCAGCTCCCGTGAGTGGACGGGGGCCCCGCGGGCAGCCCGGAACTGACTGCGGAAGCCGATGTCCACCCAAGCGGCCCCACGGCCACCCTTGTGGGAGTCCGGGGTCCCTGGGGCCCACCCGGGGCGGGGGTCAGTGGGCGTGGCCCCCCGGAGAGACCCCCCCAGCCCTGTCCCATCCCTGGGTTTCAGGTGGCAGGACCGGGTCCCGGGTCCGGGCGACATCGCGTCTGGAACGGACCTGCTCGCCGACAGTCTGCGGCCGGGGACCCCGGGGACGGAGGTGAGCCCAGGGACAGCCTGGGGACAGGGAAGCCCAGTGGTCGCACCTGCCCCCTTTAGGGGGGCTTTTTTGGCCACTCCCAGCCCTGCACTCAGGAACTGTGTCAGGGATGGAATCTCCCTCCTGCTGTGCTGCCTCAGGCCCCTTCACAAGCTGCCCTCCCGCCCTCCCTCCCTCCCTCCCTCCCTCCCTCCCTCCTTCCTTCCTTCCTTCCTTCCTTCCTTCCTTCCTTCCTTCTCCTTCCTTCCTTCCTTCCTTCCTTCCTTCCTTCCTTCCTTCCTTCTCCTTCCTTCCTTCCTTCCTTCCTTCCTTCCTTCCTTCCTTCCTTCCTTCCTTCTCCTTCCTTCCTTCCTTCCTTCTCCTTCCTTCCTTCCTTCCTTCCTTCCTTCCTTCCTTCCTTCCTTCTCCTTCCTTCCTTCCTTCCTTCCTTCTCCTTCCTTCCTTCCTTCCTTCCTTCCTTCCTTCCTTCTTTCCTTCCTTCCCTCCTTCCTTCCCCCTCCCTCCCTCCCTCCCTCCCTCCTTCCTTCCTTCCTTCCTTCCTTCCTTCCTTCCTTCCTTCCTTCTCCTTCCTTCCTTCTCCTTCCTTCCTTCCTTCCTTCCTTCCTTCCTTCCTTCTCCTTCCTTCCTTCTCCTTCCTTCCTTCCTTCTCCTTCCTTCCTTCCTTCCTTCCTTCCTTCCTTCCTTCCTTCCTTCCTTCCTTCCTTCTCCTTCCTTCCTTCCTTCCTTCCTTCCTCCTTCCTTCCTTCCTTCCTTCATTCTCCTTCCTTCCTTCTCCTTCCTTCCTTCCTTCCTTCCTTCCTTCCTTCCTTCCTTCCTTCCTTCTCCTTCCTTCCTTCCTTCCTTCCTTCCTTCCTTCCTTCCTTCCTTCCTTCCTTCTCCTTCCTTCCTTCCTTCTCCTTCCTTCCTTCCTTCCTTCCTTCCTTCCTTCCTTCCTTCCTTCTCCTTCCTTCCTTCCTTCCTTCCTTCCTTCCTTCCTTCCTTCTTTCCTTCCTTCCCCCCTCCCTCCCTCCCTCCCTCCCTCCCTCCTTCCTTCCTTCCTTCCTTCCTTCCTTCCTTCCTTCCTTCCTTCTCCTTCCTTCCTTCCTTCCTTCCTTCCTTCCTTCCTTCCTTCCTTCTCCTTCCTTCCTTCTCCTTCCTTCCTTCCTTCCTTCCTTCCTTCCTTCCTTCCTTCCTTCTCCTTCCTTCCTTCTCCTTCCTTCCTTCTCCTTCCTTCCTTCTCCTTCCTTCCTTCCTTCCTTCCTTCCTTCCTTCCTTCCTTCCTTCCTTCTCCTTCCTTCCTTCCTTCCTTCCTTCCTTCCTCCTTCCTTCCTTCTCCTTCCTTCCTTCCTTCCTTCCTTCCTCCCTCCTTCCTTCCTTCCTTCCTTCCTTCTCCTTCCTTCCTTCTCCTTCCTTCCTTCCTTCCTTCCTTCCTTCTCCTTCCTTCCTTCCTTCCTTCCTCCTTCCTTCCTTCCTTCCTTCCTTCCTTCCTTCCTTCTCCTTCCTTCCTTCTCCTTCCTTCCTTCCTTCCTTCCTTCCTTCCTTCCTTCCTTCCTTCCTTCCTTCCTTCTCCTTCCTTCTTTCCTTCCTTCCTTCCTTCCTTCCTTCTCCTTCCTTCCTTCTCCTTCCTTCCTTCCTTCCTTCCTTCCTTCCTTCCTTCCTTCCTTCCTTCCTTCCTTCTCCTTCCTTCCTTCTCCTTCCTTCCTTCCTTCCTTCCTTCCTTCCTTCCTTCCTTCCTTCCTTCCTTCCCTCCTTCCTCCCTCCCTCCCTCCCTCCCTCCCTCCTTCCTTTCTTCCTTCCTTCCTTCCCTCCTTCCCTCCCTCCCTCCCTGTGCTTTGATCACCCACGGCGGGGGGTGGGGGGTAGGGAGTCCTGTTGCCCCCTGGGCGGGTGCCCGGCCGGTGCCCTCCCCTGTGCCCTCGCTGGCTCCACAGACTCCCCCTGTCTCGTGGGCGCAGGGCTGCGGTGGGAGGTGTTGCCTGTGTGTTGCCCATCCCGCCTCCCCCGGCTCCACCCCTGCGGGCTCAGAGGGTCGCGTCGGTGGTCGTGGCTTCAGCGTCTCCCCACGTGACCCTCAGCCCGTTCTGCCCGGCGAGTGCGACCCCCTGACGCCGCAGGAATGGGGGTCCCACCCCAGCGCCCACGATCCCCTCCAGGACGCAGACCCAGGTGAGCAATGCTGTGAGGAGGGATGGTGTGTCTGCCCCCCGCTTCCGGCTCCTTCTTGGGGACCACAGCTCGCGGTCCCCAGGGGCGACTCCCGGTTTGGTGCTCAGGAGGGCTCTCCCCACAGTGCTCCTGCTGCCGTCGGCAAGTGCCAGGGATTGAACCAGGGCTGCCTGTGTGCCAAGCCTTTGGGCGTCTCTGACCCCGAGAGGGGCAGTTTGGGGGCACCATGACCCCCCCCAAACCCAGCCCCCTCGTTATTGCCAGGGGCGGAGACCCTTGCAAATAGCAGCAAAGATCAGCACCAACCAGACGGCCAAGGGCCGCGGCTCCCAGCACCCCTCACGCGGCTCTAGCCGGACCCACGGACCAGCTCAGCCGCGGCTCTGCGGGGGCCGCCAGACCCTGGCTTCACCTGGAAGTTTTTTTTCTTTTTGGGTCCCACCCGGCGATGCTCAGGGCTGAGTCCTGGCTCTGCACTCAGGGATCACTCCTGGCGGTGCTCGGGGGACCCTCTGGGATGCCGGGGATCGAACCCGGGTCGGCCGCGTGCAAGGCCAATGCCCTCCCCGCTGTGCTAATTGCTCCAGCCCCATCTGGGGTCGTTTGTTTCGGGTTTTGGGGTCACACCCGGTGGTGCTCAGGAATCACTCCTGGCTCTGCGCGCAGGGGCCGTCTGGGGTGCCGGGGATCGAACCCTGGTCAGCCTCGTGTGCGGGAAGCACCCGGCCCCTGTCCCCTCCTCAGCCTTCCAGACTGACCCGGTCCCGGTCAGAAATCCAACAGAAATGCTGCCGGGATGTATTTCTCGAATTTTCTTTTGTTTTCTGGTGTGTGTGTGTGTGTGTGTGTGTGAGAGAGAGAGAGAGAGAATGTGTTTATGAGAATGTGTGTTTGTGTGTGAGTATGAGTGTGTGTGTGTTTGGGAGTGTGTGAGTGAATGTGTGTGTATCTGAGTGTGAGTGTGCGAGTGTGTTTTTGAAAGTGTGTGTGTTTGTGAGTGTGAGTATAGTGTGTGTGTTTTCGGGTGTGAGTGTGTGTTGGTGAGAGGTGAGTTGTGTGTTTATGTGTGTCTTTGTGTGTCTGTGTGTTGAGAGTGTGAGTTGTGTGCCTGTGTGTTTGTGTGAGTGTGTCGTTGAGAGTGTGAGTTGTGTGTGTTTCTGAGTGTGTGTTTGTGCGTGTATATTGGTGAGTGTGTGGGTGTGTGTTTGTGTGTTTGAGTTGTGTATATCTATTGGTGAGAGAGTGTGAGTTTTGTGTGTATCTGTGTGTATATTGGTGAGAGTGTGTGTGAGTTGTCTGTGTGTGTGAGAGTCGGTGTGTATGTGTGATTTTTTGTGTATATGTGTGTTGGTGACAGTGTGTGAGTTTTGTGTTTTTGTTTGTGTGTGAGTATGTGTCAGAGTGTGTGTGTTTGTGTGTGTATATTGGTGAGTGTGTTTGTGTGTCTGAGTATTTGTGTGTCTGTTGGTGAGAGAGTGTTAGCTTTGCGTGAGTTGTGTGTTTGTGTGTGTGTGAGTCTGTGTGTACGTGTGTTCGTGTGTGTTGGTGACCGTGTGTGAGTTCTGTGTTTGTTTGTGTCTGTGTTTGTGTGTGTCTGTGTGTGTCTGTGTGTACGTGTGGCTCAGACCCTCCCGTCGTTTGAAGCGTGGGGGTCACTCTGGGGGTGCTGGGGGGACCCCGGGGTGGGCAGGGTGGGGGGTGCCGTATTTCCCCGAGAAGCAGGGCCGGGGCCTGAGCAGGGCGTGTCTCGCGCAGGGCCCCAGGACCCCGTGAAGTTCTCGGCCCCGCACGTGCCGGTGGGCTTCGGGCCTGGGGGCCTGTTGGTGCTGGCGGTGCCCCGGGGCGGCCGCCCGGAGCTGGTGGAGCTGCACAGCATGGAGGTAAGACCGGGCGCACCCGGGCCACCCACCCGCCCTCCTGCCACCAGGCCGGGCTGCGCTGCGGGACCGTTGCACACATGCTCATTGCCGAGCCTGTGGGGCCTCGACTTTCCCCTGAGTTGCTATTGGCCCATTTCGGCAGCTGCGGGCAGGGAAGCCCCCAGGGACCCTCCTGGCTGTGCTCAGCCCATCAGCCTGGCTGTTTAGATCAAGGGCTCCAACCTGTGCTACTGCCGGGGGCCCAGTCCTCCCAGTATCCGGGGAGGCTTGGTGGTCCATACGGCTGGTCCTGGGGTCAGACCTGGGCTTCCTGCTGCCTCCTTGGCCTGAGAGTCACCACTGGTCTTTTTATTATTATTATTATTATTATTATATTATTATTATTATTTAAAAGAAAAACGTTTTGGCTCACACCCGGTGATGCTCAGGACTGACTCCTGGCTCTGCACTCAAGAATTTATTCCTGGCGGTGCTCGGGGGACCCCATGGGATGCCGGGGATCGAACCCAGGTCGGCTGTGCACCAGGCCAACGCCCTCCCCGCTGGGCTGTCGCTCCGGCCCCTTGCAGGTTATTCTTTATGATTCTGAGGAGCAAGAAGAAATGAGAATCTTCTCTGGACCTCTGAACAGGTGAGTGACCCCAGGAACTGGATAAAGGTTTTATGGGTTTTTTTTTTTTTTGCTTTTTGGGTCACACCTGGTGATGCTCAGGGGTTCCTCCTGGCTCTGCACTCAGGAATCGCTCCTGGCAGTGCTCGGAGGACCCTATGGGATGCTGGGAATCGAACCCGGGTCAGCCGCGTGCCAGGCAAATGCCCTCCCCGCTGTGCTATCGCTCCAGCCCCAGTTTTTTGTTTTTATTTTTCTCCTTGTTTCTGTTTACTTTTGGGCCAGTTCTGCTGACTCCTGGCTCTGCATTCAGGGCTCATTCCCGGTGGGCTCAGGGGTCCCTATGGGATGCCGGGGATTGAACTGGGGTTGGCTGCGGCGTGCAAGGCAAGTGCCCTCCCCACAGTGCCCTCCCACTCTGGTCCCCTGGGGAAAGGCTTTGGAAACCCAGACATCCGGCATTTTGGGGGAAATTTGGGCTTCCTTGCAAGAAAATCTTTTCCCCGCGGGAGTAGAACTTTCCACGCTGCAAGATAAGAGCCCAGGGGGCTGGAGCGATAGCACAGAGGGGAGGGCGTTTGCCTTGCACGCAGCCAACCCGGGTTCGAGTCCCAGCATCCCATAGGGTACCCCGAGCACCGCCAGGAGTGATTCCTGAGTGCAGAGCCAGGAGGAACCCCTGTGCCTCGCTGGATGTGACCCAAAAAGAAAAAAAAAAGATAAGAGTCCAGAGCTATTTGGACAACTGCTTTGCTCGCCAAAGGGCTGACAGAAAATGTTCAGGAAAGGTTCAGAAGCCTGAAATCAGTCGTATTTTGCGGGAGCAGTGTGGAATTTTCGGGAGTTCCCTATACTTTCAGGTCTTAGTGGGGGTGGAAATAGACAACCACGACCTAAAGGAAAAAAAAAAAAACAGACAAATGTCTCATAGTGTAAACAGTTCTTAGGAATTAGGAAACTGCATTTAGGTGGAAGTGCACGTCTGACCTCTGCAGCACACAGTGAGAACTGCACTGGGGAAGCAGGAAAAGGCCCCTGCTGGTTTTAGAGACGTGCCCAGAGCGCCCCCTGCTGGGCAGAGGCGGTGCTCAACAGCTAGCCCCTCTCTGTGGAGGGGCGTTTTGGTGATGGATCCCGGGTGGTGGACCCCGGGGCTCCCGTATGCCAAGCCTGTGGAGTCCCACCACCCTTGATTTTATTTTATTTATTTACTTAATTATTTGCTTTTTGGGTCATACCTGATGCACAGGGTTACTCCTAGCTCTGTACTCAAGGATCACTCCTGACAGTGCTCAGAGGAACCTATGGGATGCCAGGACGCCGGGGATCGAACCCGGGTCAGCCGCATGCAAGGCAAATGCCCTCCCCGCTGTGCTGTTGCTCCGGCCCCTAATTCCTTTTTTTAAAATTTATTTATTTATTGCACAGAGGCAGTTTGTTGCTGGGGCCACGCCTGGTGGTGCTCAGGGCTGGCTCTGTGTCCAAGGCTCACCCCTGGCAGGCGTGGGGGACCCTGTGGGATGCCGGAATCGAGCCTGGGTTTATTGCGTGCCAGGCAAATGCCCTTCCTGCCGCGCTATTGCTCCGTTGGTTTTATTTTATTTATTTATTTATTGCTTTTTGGGTCCCACCCGGCGATGCTCAGGGCTGACTCCTGGCTCTGCACTCAGGGATCACTCCTGGCGGTGCTCGGGGACCATATGGGATGCTGGGAATCGAACCTGGGTCGGCCGTGTGCAAGGCCGACGCCCTACCCGGTGTGCTGTCGCTCCAGCCCCACCCATTTGTTAGTTTTAAATCCTTATCCTGAGCCTGAGCGATAGCCCAGCTGGAGGATGTTCCCTGAGCATCGCTGGGTGTGGGCCTGGGTGCAGTGGGCAGCCCTGTGTGTGTGTACATGCGTGCTGTGTGTGCATACGTATGTGCATGTGTGTGTGTGTCTGTGCATCTGCAAGTGCGTGCATGTTTCCGTGTGCGTGAGTGCATGTGTATGCGTGCGTGTGTGCGTGCACGTACATTTGCATGCGTGTGTGTGCATGCATCTGCATGTGCCTTCATGTTTGCTCGTGCGTGTGTGCGTGTGCATGCGTGCATTTGTGTGTGAGTGCGTGCATGGGCGCATGCACGTGCTCGTGTGGGCCCATGTGTGCGTGTGTGTGCGTGTGTGTGCATACGTGCATATTTGCGTGTGTGCGCGTGTGCCTGCCTCCTGCTTACTCTGTACCCCGCTCTCGGCAGGGACGACGTGTACAAGGTCGACATCGTCACGTTCTGCCAGCGCAAGGCCGAGCAGAGCTGCAGAGCCCAGAGCCCGCGGGGCCAAGACTCCGCGCTCCTGTGGAAGCTTCTGGTCCTGCTCTGCCGCCAGAATGGGGTGAGCGGGGCTGGGACTAGTGGGCCGAGGGCGAGACTCTTCCGGGCATCTAGGACGGCCGCGGCTCGGCCACGTGCAGGGACAGTCGTGAATATAAGAGAAGGGGCGGGGGAGTGATAGCACAGCGGGGAGGGCGTTGGCCTGGCACACGGCCGACCCGGGTTCGATCCCCGGCATCCCATAGGCTCCCCCGAGCACCGCCAGGAGTGATTCCTGAGTGCAGAGCCGGGAGGAAGCCCTGAGCATTGCCAGATGGGACCCAAAAAGCAAAAATAAAACAAAAATAAAATAAATAAAAATCAGGGGGCCAGAGTGGTAGCATAGTGTTTAGGGCCTCTGCCTTGCACGTGGCCGACCCGGGTTCGATTCCCGGCATCCCCTAGGGTCCACCCCCCCCCCCGAGCACTGCCAGGAGTGATCCCTGTGTGCAGAGCCAGGAGTCAGCCCTGAGCATCGCCGGGAGGGACCCAAAAAGCAAAAAAATAATCAAATAAATTTGAGAGAAGCGACCAAGGAGCATCTCCCAGCTAGATGCAGGGCCCATCCGCCCCCTCCACCTTTGCTGCAGTTCCCAGCAAAGTGCATGTGTGTACGTGTGCGTGCATCTGCCTGCATGCATGCATGTGTGTGTGTGTGCGTGTGCATGCATGCATTTGTGTGTGCGTGTGCGGGCTGGGCGGGCACCGTGGGAGAGGCCAGCCCGGTGCGGGGACCCCCACCGGGTCCCGCGCTCACTGGGGCTCCCCCCACCCCCAGTCCATGGTGGGCTCGGACGTCGCCGACCTGCTCATGAAGGACTGCGGGGAGCGGGGCCAGGACCAGCGCCAGCCGCCCGTGGCCGACCTCATCGGGCTGGACGGCGCCGGGGCCTGGCCCGTGCCGAGCCCGGGGACCCCGAACCTGCTCACCGGGGAGACCCCCCCGAGCGTGGAGACGCCCGCGCAGGTCGTGGAGAAGTTCACCAAGTTGCTCTACTTCGGGAGGAAGAAGGCAAGTGCGCCCCCTGCTGGCGGGGCCGCGTCTAACTCCAGCACGCCCCCTGCTGGCGGGGCCTCACCACTGCCTGCTTCTCCCCAGCTGCGCCCCCTGCTGCTGAGGCATCACCACCGCCTGCTCAACTGCGCCCCCCGCTGGCGGGTCCTCACCGCCCTCTGCACATCCCCAGCTGCGCCCCCTGCTGGCGGGGCCTCGTCTGTCCCAAGCGCGCCCCCTGCTGGCGGGGCCTCACCACTGCCTGCTTCTCCCCCACTGCGCCCCCTGCTGGTGAGGCATCGCCGCCGCCTGCTTAACTGCGCCCCCCTGCTGGCGGGGCCTCGTCTAACTCCAGCGCGCCCCCTGCTGGCGGGGCCTCGTCTAACTCCAGCGCGCCCCCTGCTGGCGGGGCCTCACCACTGCCTGCTTCTCCCCCACTGCGCCCCCTGCTGGTGAGGCATCGCCGCCGCCTGCTTAACTGCGCCCCCTGCTGGCGGGGCCTCGTCTAACTCCAGCGCGCCCCCTGCTGGCGGGGCTTCGTCTAACTCCAGCGCGCCCCCTGCTGGCGGGGCCTCACCGCCGTCTGCTCAACTGCGCCCCCTGCTGGCGGGGCCTCGTTTGTCCCAAGCGCGCCCCCTGCTGGCGGGGCCTCACCACTGCCTGCTTCTCCCCAGTTGCGCCCCCTGCTGGTGAGGCATCGCCGCCGCCTGCTCAACTGCGCCCCCTGCTGGCGGGGCCGCGTCTGTCCCAAGCGCGCCCCCTGCTGGCGGGGCCTCACCACTGCCTGCTTCTCCCCCACTGCGCCCCCTGCTGGTGAGGCATCGCCGCCGCCTGCTCAACTGCGCCCCCTGCTGGCGGGGCCTCGTCTAACTCCAGCGCGCCCCCTGCTGGCGGGGCCTCGTATGTCCCAAGCGCGCCCCCTGCTGGCCGGGGCCGCGTCTAACTCCAGCGCGCCCCCTGCTGGCGGGGCCTCACCACTGCCTGCTTCTCCCCCACTGCACCCCCTGCTGGTGAGGCATCGCCGCCGCCTGCTCAACTGCGCCCCCTGCTGGCGGGGCCTCGTATGTCCCAAGCGCGCCCCCTGCTGGCCGGGGCCTCGTCTAACTCCAGCGCGCCCCCTGCTGGCGGGGCCTCACCGCCGTCTGCTCAACTGCGCCCCCTGCTGGCGCGGCCTCGTTTGTCCCAAGCGCGCCCCCTGCTGGCGGGGCCCCACCACTGCCTGCTTCTCCCCAGCTGCGCCCCCTGCTGGTGAGGCATCGCCGCCGCCTGCTCAACTGCGCCCCCTGCTGGCGGGGCCTCACCACCCTCTGCACCGCCCCAAGCGCGCCCCCTGCTGGCCGGGGCCTCATCTAACTCCAGCGCGCCCCCTGCTGGCGGGGCCCCACCACTGCCCGCTTCTCCCCCAGTGCGCCCCCTGCTGGTGAGGCATCGCCGCCGCCTGCTCAACTGCGCCCCCTGCTGGCCGGGCCTCGTCTAACTCCAGCACGCCCCCTGCTGGCGGGGCCCCACCACTGCCCGCTTCTCCCCCACTGCGCCCCCTGCTGGTGAGGCATCGCCGCCGGCTGCTCAACTGCGCCCCCCACTGGCGGGTCCTCACCGCCCTCTGCACCTCCCTCAAGTGCGCCCCCTGCTGGCGGGGCCTCACCACCCTTTTGCTCTCCTTCCTGGGGAGGAGCAAGAGATCCTCCAGTTACTCTCGAGCTAGTGTCTAGGCCCCGAAGACGGAGAGAGCGGGAGAGGGACCGAGAACTTGCTTATTTTATGTCTTTTGCTGCACGTGGCTCTGTGTGCAGGGCAGTGAGCCAGGGGTCTCTGAGCAATCGCTGGTGTGGCCCCACCGGCCAGATCCAGCCCAAAGTTGTACCTTTTCATACAGGGGGTGACGGAAGGAAGGGAAACAACCGTGGTTCCACCGCCACGAGATGACTCCGGCTGGCCTTGTGGTTTGTTTCCTTGGTGCATTTTTTTAAACATCATCTTGGACTTTGTTTATTTTTGCTTTTTTGTGTTTTTTTTTGGGGGGGTCACACCTGGCAATGCACAGGGGTTCCTCCTGGCTCATGCACTCAGGAATCACTCTTGGCAGTGCTCCAGACCCTATGGGATGCTGGGAATCGAACCCGGGTCGGCTGCATGCAAGGCCAATGCCATCCCCACTGTGCTATCGCTCCAGCCTCTCTTCGTGCATTTTTTTTTGCTTTTTTGGGTCACACCTGGCGATGCACAGAGGCTACTCCTGGCGGTGCTCAGGGGACCCTATGGGATGCTGGGAATCGAACCCGGGTTGGCCGCGTGCAAGGCAAACGCCCTACCCGCTGTGCTATCGCTCCAGCCCCTCTTCATGCGTTTTTAACAGGCACGTTAAACATCACATTTAGTTTACATAGAGTTCTATTTTTCTTTTGTTTTTTTGGTGTTGGGGGCCACACCTGGCGATGCTCAGGGCTGACTCCTGGCTCTGCACTCCGGGATCACTCCCGACAGTGCTTGGGGGACCTTTAGCAATGCCTGAGATCGAACCTGGGTCGGCCACATGCAAGGCAAGCACCTTACTTGCTATACTACCTCTCCACTCCTCTCCCCCTGTGAATTATTTTTATTTATTTATTTATTTATTGCTTTTTGGGTCACACCCAGCGATGCACAGGGATGGTTCATGCACTCAGGAATTACTCCTGGCCATGCTCGGGGGACCATATGGGATGCTGGGAATCGAACCCAGGTCGGGCCGCGTGCAAGGCAAATGCCCTCGCCGCTGTGCTGTCGCTCCAGCCCCCCCTCCCCATGAATTATTATTTAAGAAAACATTTCCCCATAAGCTTCTGGGTTTGATATCCAGGCATGCACACACACACACACACAGACACACACAGACACACACAGATAACACACATACACCCAAAACAAATCATAAAAACTCGCCCCAGTCACTGCATGTTATAAAGCCATTTTGTGGGCTGTACTGAAGCCACCGGCAGTCAGGTGTGGTTGGGGACACGTCCCATGGACCCCTGGTGTGGCCTCTGGCCTCCCGCAGGTGCCTCACACACCCACTGGGAGTGGGGTCAGGGGTGCCAGGCCTGGGTCCTGGGTGGGACTGAGCGTCTGAATGTCCCCAGGAGGCGCTGGAATATGCCATGAAGAATCACCTGTGGGGCCACGCCCTCTTCCTGTCCAGCAAGATGGACTCAAGGACCTACAATTGGGTGATGAGCGGGTGAGTGGGTCTCAGGACACTGCCAGGCTGATGGGACATTCCTTTCCTCTAGAGTCTTACCCTTCTGCCCAGACACACTCTACCAGGTCAGTGATGGGAAAGACTCCCGGTGGTCTATCACTGGGCAACCATTCTAGAAAGTTCTAAAAATTTCTAGAAAGTTCTAGAAAGCTCCAGAAAGTTCTAAAAATTTCTAGAAAGTTCTAGAAAGCTCTAGAAAGTTCTAGAAAGTTCCATCTGCAAGGGACTTGGGGCCTCTTCCTTTGAGAATGCCCAGCCATGCCAGGGCGGGGGGTGTGTAGGATTGGGGAGCCCCTGGGTGTTGAGAAGTAGAACTGATAGCAGGGGAGGGGGAAAATCATGCAGGCTAGCCCAGGCCTGGCCCCAGGGGCGAGGGGCTCTCCAGGGGTCCCCCTGACCCCCCACCTATTCCTGCAGTTTCATCAGCACCCTGGCACTCAACGACCCCCTGCAGACCTTCTTCCAGCTCATGTCCGGGCGTATCCCCCAGGCGGCCACGGTAACTGGACGGGGGCCCCCAGGCCAGCATCCCTGGTGGGACCCAGGAGTGAGGGGGATGCCGGGGAATCCTGATCCCCCTGACTTATTTCCTGGGGGCACGGGTGGAACCCGGGGTCATTGTCCCGCTTCTAACAGGCGGAGGTGGGTTGTTCCTGGTGAGTGGAAGGGGTTCAATCCCCTTCTCTGAACAAGACCATAATTTATTATTATTACTATTATTATTGGGCTGGAGTCATAGCACAGCGGGTAAGGCGTTTGCCTTGCACGTGGCCAACATGGCCAGCCTGGGTTCGATTCCTCCACCCCTCTTGGAGAGCCTGGCAAGCTACCGAGAATATCTCGCCCACATGGCAAAGCCTGGCAAGCTCTGCGTGACGTATTCGAGATGCCAAACACAGTCACAACAAGTCTCATAATTTGCTGTGAGATGTTACTGGTGCCCGCTCGAGCAAATCGATGAACAACGGGAGGACAGTGCTACAGTGCTATAATAATTTTATTATTTGTAATAATTATTATTTGGTTTTGGTCACACCCGGCGGTGCTCAGGGATCCACTCCTGGCGGGGCTTGGGGGTCCCTGTGGGGGGGCCAGGGGTTGAGCCCCAGCTGTCCAGGCCAGTGCCCTTCCCGCTGTGCTCTCAAGCCCCGTTTTGGGGTTCATTTTAGAGACTTTCGGGGGGAGACTCTGGCAGTGGCCCCAAGGGATGGGTGTGCCCCTTGCCTCATGCTGGGGGCCGCGCTTGGCATTGCTCGGGGTGACGGGGTCCCGGGGTCGGATGGTGCCCTGACCCCCCCCACCCCACGGCCTCCTGCGTTCGTGGGTGTCGGCCGTCCCGAGCACCCCTGGGTGACGGCTTCCTCCCCCCCGCAGAGCTGCGGGGACCAGCAGTGGGGAGACTGGAGGCCGCACCTGGCCATGGTGCTGTCCAACCAGGGCGCGGAGCCCGAGCTGCAGCGGAGGACAATCGTCACCTTGGGGGACACCCTGGGTAAGCCCCGCCCCGCCGGGCCACCGACCCGCCGCCCTCTTCCCCTTCCTCCTTCCTCCCTTCCCTTCCCTTCTTCCCTCCCTCTCTTCCTTCCTTCCTTCCTTCCTTCCTTCCTTCCTTCCTCCTCCCCTCCTCCCCTCCCTCCCTCCCTCCCTCCCTTCTTCCCTCCTTCCTCCTTCCTTCCTTCCTTCCTTCCTTCTCTCCTTCCTTCCTTCCTTCCCTCCCTCCCTCCCTCCCTCCCTTCCTTCCTTCCTTCCTTCCTTCCTTCCTTCCTTCCCTCTCCTTCCTTCCTTCTCTCTCTCCTTCCTTCCTTCCTTCCTTCCTTCCTTCCTTCCTCCCTCCCTCCCTCCCTCCTTTCCTTCCTTCCTCCCTCCCTTCTCTCTCCTTCCTTCCTTCCTTCCTTCCTTCCTTCCTTCCTTCCATCCTTTCTTTTCCTTCCTTCCTTCCCTCCCTCCCTCCCTCCCTCCCTTCCTTCCTTCCTTCCTTCCTTCCTTCCTTCCTTCCTTCTCTCTCCTTCCTTCCTTCCTTCCTTCCTTCTCTCCTTCCTTCCTTCCTTCCTCCTTCCTTCCTTCCTTCCTTCCTTCCTTCCTTCCTTCCTTCTCTCTCCTTCC